GTTTCATGTTTTCTTCTGTAAAAATAGAATCAAACATTTATGAGAGAAGACTGTTGTGAATGGTTTTCATGTTTGCTGATGTTTGCTTTTATATGGATGAGAACAAACTTTAATCAATAAGTGTTTGATTATATGTCTAATTTATGAACATTTCTGAAAAATCTTCTGGAAAAACATTTCATAGATTCTGAAAAGTGGTATTTTCTGGCCTGTGTCATTGTTTTGAAATAGATTAATGTATATGTAAATTGTATTTTTGCTAAAGTTAAAATGTCATCAACGTTTTTCTTTAATCTTACATCTGTCCTTGATTAATCATCAATTTTGGTGGGAAGTTTTGCCTGCAACTGTATTTCTGATAAGCACTTGAGTTTACCAAATGTCCCAAAAATGTTCCTTTCAAGATTCAACGGGTCTTAATTTTTTGACAGACATTGCAAAATGAGTGTTCTCTCAAACCCATCACAGAGGCATCAAATTTTAGGTTAATGGTCAGACAGTGCGAAAACCTTGCCAGCTTTGAAAGGGAATGGCAACAAGACTGTGTAAAATCAGGCCTAGTCCACACGTAGCCGGGTTTTTTTAAAAACGAATATCCGCCCCTCCAAAAACTTGCATCCACACCACCTCGTTTTAAAAACAAACTCTGTCCACACGTACCCGGATAAATACGTTGTTAAGGACATGCCAGACCTGTAGGCGGCAGTACTTCCCCCGTTCTTAACCTCGTCCTTCGTCTGTGGTCTTCCGCAAGGAGCAGTAATTCCGCTTGCAAAAACAAACAAGCAAAAAGCGCTTGGACAACTGATAAAGCGAGCGCAGCTCTGAGGGCATCCATGCTGTCGGCTAGTGTAAACACAGGTCGCACACGTGATGTCAGCATTTTTTTGTCGCGGAAAGTGACGTTGCGGACCTTAAAACTCCGGTTTTGTCTGTCCACACGCAGACACCCAAAACGGAGAAAACGCAGATCTTCACTTTGGCCGGAGTTTTTAAAAAGATCCGTTTTCGTGTGAAAAAACTCAGTTTTCGTGTGGATGACAGGCCAAAACGTAGAAAAATATCTACGTTTTAGCAGATCCCCGCTACGTGTGGACAGGGCCTCAGACAAGAAGACATTTTGACATGAATTTGCATCAAAATGGTTTGTGACCCAGTGAAATGTGATTTTCCACAATTCATGCTAACTTGTTATTAACAACATCAGGCCCAGGAAAAATGGGCCTATATTAATCTTGGTTTAATATGTTATGCTTTTTTTAAATTACTACTGCTGAGAAACTATCGTTTTCTTGATTTACTTACAGTATGATGTCAATAGAAGCTGAAAGTATTTTGAATTTTTAATATATGCATTCAATCTGATTGAGAGAGAATTTAAATAATGAGAAGAAATATCTAAACTTGCGGTTGTGTCGGTTTTTCTTACTTTCTGCACTTTTTTGCTTCTCACCATCTCATCTTGTATGCCGCACACCTTCATCGTTTTGTTCATGTTGAAGTCCCTCATCCTTTTTTGTATCAAACTCGCCCTGTTCCTATTCTGCTCCCTTCCTTCACTACAAATCCTCTCAGTTAAAAAAAACAGGAGAGTAAATGAGAGGCAGTGATGGAGGGGAGTAAAATCTCTCAAAGGAGAAGGGCCCATTAAGTAAAGCCCCTTTTTTCTCCTAAGAATCCTCCCAGAGATGGAAGGAGATGAAAGAAGTCAAGAAAAAACGGCTCCCCGTACTTTCTAACGACAGATTTTTCTTTCACTCTGAGAGGGAGGCTAACAGGGAGGCAGGTTGGGAATTGGACTGAAGAAGAGGAAGAGAATTGAAGGTGGAGGGCAGGATATTTCAAACACAAAAGCAGATGAAAGAACTTTTGGAAAAGAGACGCACATTAAACCCGAGGCACACAAACAAGGACTGGTGAGGGGGCAGAATTCAGATGGCCACCAGTCTCCCAGTGAAATCATTGTTGCAAGCACTTTTTTACACCAAAGCTATTCCCTTTATTGACTTATTTCATCATGCTGCATCTCATAAAACACAGTTTTGTGCTTTAGTCAACAAGTATATTAGTTATTTTGTGCTTGCATATCCATTTTCTGCCTCCCTTTCCCTTCTTTCTTCAATTTCAATCAACGTGTGTGTGATTTACACATTATATGACTCATTCCAGCAGCCCTGTGCCATAACCTAATCAATGCAGGCCAAAATTCAAACAGAGGGATGATGTATGGCTGTGTTTATGTTGTGCTAGCCATGCACTTTTCGGTTTCCATTCTGCCCCACTCCATCAAACTTTTTGCAAGATTTGGAAAACGTTTTGCGAGGAGCTTTTAAATCAGCCATCTCTCACTTGCCTCTCCGTCCTCCATCACAGACTACTTTGAAGCCTTTAATATTTCTAATTAGTTAATGGAGCTGATTGCATTTATGAAACCCTGCAGTAAGCATTTCTAGCCCACAAGCTGTCTTTCTCTAACCTTTTTTTCCCTTTCTTGCTCCATCTCTGTTTCCTGGAGAAATGTTAGTGTGAGCACTCTAACAGGTCCTCAGGCCCTCACTCGTACAATGAACGGTGGCCATCCAATCTCTGCAGAAAAAAACCCACTTTTTTCTTTACTAATTGAACTGAAGAAAAAAAATGAGGCTATGGGGAATTTTAATCTCCTTCCAGATCCATGTGATAATTCTTCTCAGGGTTCTAGCCTGAGGGTTTCAAGCCAGTATCATTAGAAAGTGTTCGATGGTCATCTAGGCAGCCTGGGATCCTTTTTTCTGTCCTCTCTTTTCTCTCTACCGCAAGTGATTTAATGTTTTGTTAAAGCCTGCAGGGATTTGACTTGACAGTGAACAAGTTTAGAGCCTTAGAAGTTAGCTGTGAGATGGAGGAGCCTCAATCTCAGATTAAAAGGTCATTTCAGTTAAGTCTCTACAAGAAAATATAACTAAAGCAGAAGTTGGAATATTCCCTGAGCACTATGTGTATTTAAGTAGTTCACACATTTTTCCCTCTTGGCATACTTATACCAAAACCAGATGATGTCACTAATTTAATGCCAGTTTCTTGTTTATCCATAGCTTTGAAAGAAGTCATTGATCATGCTAACACATAATCTGAGCGAGATTAAGCTAAACGTGCAGTTTAGGCTCGTTTTGATTCCATCTAAAATAAAGCAGGATCCATCCATCTCAGTCAGCAGTGTCAGACTTCTCTTTTTCTGACAGGTCTTGGGGCAGTACAATAATTTTTCATTTTCGTGCATGCACGGCAATCTCATGCTTTGCAGAAGATCTGGAGGGTGCATGCAAAAATACGAGTCCTTAGTGGATAATCATTGGTGCATCAAGCTGTATGCACATCTGTCCGTCAGATTTTGCAACTTCATTCTGCTCTTTTTTGGCATGACGCTTTCCACTCACTTCCTGGTTTTGCTGTTATTTTAAAGAGAAAGTCACCCCCTACCTGAGTCTTACTCCACTTCCACTTCCTGTTTGAAAAATGCAACAAATGCTTGTGCCTGGCAAAACGAGAAGGCGTAGCCGCTAACAAACACACAAAAATATTGTGACATCATAATGTACCAGCTAACATCATAGTGTACCTCTTAGTCAATAACGATGGCAGATTTAAATTCAAATGCAGTGTAGAGTTTTTACCTGAAGAGGGTGCAACTCTGACAGCTTTAGGCCAAATTTTTAAATTTTCACTAAGATGCGCTAAATTGCCAAATGATTGACTACACTTGTCTACAGCATGACTAGACACTCATTTATATCGTTTTCCAGCCAAAAACAAGTTGATTTGGGGGTGACTTGCTCTTTAAGAACATTTAACATGTAAACCAGCCTCATCAGCTATTTGCAACAGGCTATAACTTAAATACTGAGTTATTGTTTTGTCACACTGTTTTCTCTCTGGCATCCTCTCTGATTAAGTGCAAACAGTGTGAACAACAACTCGGGGAAAACAAATCAAAACCAATTTCTTTATAGTTTGTCTTTTTGCTTTTCTTTTTAAATGTTGCACTGTGAGAACTTTAAATATTGATGTACGATGGAAAACCAATGAAGATGCTGATGCAAGCAATTAGTTAAGCGCATATCAATCAACTGACTCTGCACATCCGAATTAGTATTGAATTTCTTTATTGTGTTTGTATCTTCTCTTCTCTTTAGCTTTGTGCATTCATTTAGGCTTTTTCAACCAAAATAATGACCTCATATTTCATTTATAAGCAAATATTATTGCAGGTGTCCTTTAAAAGTTTTAATCTCCGTTATTTACAGTTTGAGGGGATTTGAAGCTTGCAGAAGGCAGTTTGTTGAAGGTATAATATGAGGAAGCTAAAATTGTCTCATGGATGAATGACCTTATCTAACTGAGGAAATGAGGCTCTGATCTTTTCTCTGCATGCACTAAATTAAGTTTTCATCTCTTATCTTCTGCATATCTATTACAGTTTTACGTTATAAAGTGCGTTTGGTTCCCTTGCTCAATAAATGGTGATCAGCTGCCCAGATATTGCTCCATTTTTTTCCCCTAAGCACTATAATGTCGATTTCCCCGAATCGAAGTGAACTGAGCCTCAAAAACTTTCAAAGCCTTGCACTCCAGCCTGCCTCGGACGTTTCAAATGGTGTTTTAGCTTGTTGAATTTTGTGGACTTGATATGAAGTGAAAATAATATTGTAATGAATGTGAAGGTAATAAAAGTCATATTTTTTTACAAACAGAAGGTGTCTTTATTTATCTGTCCTCTCGATTCGCACGCTCACTCTGTGCATTTTATGCTTATTTTTAAATTTTAAAAAGAGCTCTGATGCTTATCAGATAATGAAACTCACCAGATTCACACAGGTAATCTGGCTGAAACGTAGAGTAACGCGGGTGGTGGTATTCTTCAGCGGTTTGTGGGGTTTCTGTGGAATTCTAGGTGATGTTATCGCAGCTTGAAGTCGGATCTTGAGCAGTGGCTGTATGGAGGAGATTAATGCTGCTCTTATTTTCTGTCTCCATAACAGATCGGAAGACAGTAGATTTGGGAAACGATCCAGCTTTCAATCACAAGCAGCACATCAATGGAGGTGAGGTCCTCCCCCACCCCCACCTCTCTTCTCCCCTCAGCCTGAGGCTATACTGGCTGTCTCACCCAAGGACTGGTGAAATCACAGACATGCCCATGGCTCTTCCCTTTGCTTGCTTTTAAACAAGAAACAAGCCCGTGGCAACGGTGACAACTGTAGCTGTGTGTTCGTGTTAGAGATTTTATAGAGACGAGTGTTTCTGTTATTAAAAAACAAACAAGAAAAACATCTGATTGTCACAATGCTGCACTGTTGTGGTGAAAACCGTACAATCTCGCTAGAGCTGGTAGTATGTGGGTGTGTGGGGGAAAATAAATGGGGGGGTTGCATTGACCCAGTTAATCAGAATTCAATTTCAGCCTTCATTTAAAAAAATATCGATGAATAAATGAAAATGAAACGCTTTGTTCTGGGGAGTCCTTGTTTGCAAATTAAAGTTACAAATTTTTAGGTTTTGGAAGTGACTTTGTTCTTCATCCATTAATGCCTGCAGATCACGCTTTTGTTCCTTTCTTATCCTGCATTTACACCGAGTGTGGAACGGATGTGGTCCAAAACCCGCGCGGGTCACAAAGACAAAAACTCATCGAGTCCAATCAGAGCGTTCACACCGGCTGCAGTGAGGTTGCAGATCCAGATGTGGAGCTCTGGAAAGTTTTTGGAAGAAGTCCATTTTTTCCGGAGGCAGACTTTAACTTCATGAAAATACAAAGAAATTACACGAGCCAGACAGGAAGTGAGACATGGTTCAGCGAGACGTAGTGGGTGTATTTCAAAGTAAGACACGTGTTGCGCTTATGGCTCGCCTTTTTTTAATTTAAGGGATGACAGCGTTATGAGTTCTCAGCTCACGTTAATACATCTTTAAACATATTAGGTGAATTTCCTTTACCAGACTTCAGGGTTAATGCCGTGAGGGGGAAATTGAGCGGGAGATCTTAAGACCCGGTCCTCTTAGTCGTCGTGTCTCCATTTATAGTTTAGCCCTGGAAGAAATTTGCTAAAACATCAGTACATCGCTGCTTTGTGAGTTAAGTCATTGATTGGTGCAAAACATGCAGAACACACCAAAAGTGGAGAGCAAAACATAATTTCCAACAGAGTTACTAGCTGCACCAGGCCACTCCGAGGACCTACTCCTGATCAGGTACTAAAAGGTTCATGAAAAAAGCTGTTTGTTAAGGAGACGTGCATGTCGGGACGTTCCTGTAAATCTACCCTCAAGTTCCGTTAACGGACACGCACCTACTCGTTTTGTGCTCTTGTGGGAGCAAACCTCTGGAGACGTTTGGCACACGAACCGCGTTTGGTGTGAATGGCAGTCCGTCCGAAAGGCGCACCACATCCGTTCCATATGTTAATGAGAATTTCCTCTCATTCACTTCTGCCCCGGCTGTGTTCATATTCATTTTTACAAGTAATAATTAACAACATGGGGTACATCACATAGTTGTCACTACTTTCTCTTTAAATCTGATGCTTGGAGGGAGCAAAAAGTGTCAAAAATAAATAAACGATAGTTCATTTTGCTTTCAGGCTTTAGTTTGTTAACAGTGTTTCTCTGTTGATTTTTTTCTTACATATTAAGCTAAAGAGTTGTATTTTCATCCATGTCCCAAAAAAATAAATAAATGCAAATTAAATTTAATTTCATCATGTCTAAAGTTATTCTTCAAATTAAAAGCATGCCTGCTCCTAACAGGAGTACCTTAAGCCTTTACTAATCTGTAATTATGTGAAACAAAACATTTCCTCAGTCCAGTTCCAAATTCATCAGTGCAGACGTCTCTTTTGGGCCTTTTGGCATCAAAGTTTAAAGTGCGTTTCTAGCTCTAATCCTCTGAAAATGAAGGCACAAGAGGTTGCAGGGGGGGGGGGATTGCTGCAGAAACAAAAGTCGTACTTACTCTGCATCGATCAAATTCAAGCTCAAAACATTTTTGTTTTAAGGTGCCATTAGTATTTTACAAATTCAGACTTTAACAAGCATCTGTAACATTATTTCTGTGTCCCCCCCAGGCTGGCCGCCGTTTTTCTCCACCCCGTCCTCTGACCTAGTCCCCCCCTCGGTCACGCTGGTGTCAGAGAAAGACAAGGACAACGCCTGGCTGTACACGCTGGACCCCATCCTCCTCACCATCATCGTGATGAGCTCGCTGGGCGTCCTGATGGGAGCGGTCTGCGCCGGATTGCTCCTGTACTGCACGTGCTCGTACAGCGGGCTCTCTTCGCGTTCCTCTACGACGCTGGAGAACTACAACTTTGAGCTTTACGACGGAATCAAGCACAAGGTGAAGATAAATCAGCAGAGGTGCTGCTCGGAGGCGTGAGAGGGCACCGATTCATCTCGTCACTGTTGAGTTTGGACGACATGAAAAACAACACTGAATTGTAACTCCCGCCCAAAGTTGTCCCTTTGCTCTGATGTCTAACGAAGTAACACTCCACACCCCCCACAGTTCATGTGCTGAGGTGAGGGGGTGGGGGTGATTTTGGATCCAGATTTCCTAAGCAGGCCTTGAGGCCTGAACCGAGGAACTGTCTGATCCCAGCCTCCCTGAACTACTTTTCTCCTCTGCCTGCAGGAGAAAGTCTGCTTGATTCTTTAAGCCTGAGAATGAATGAAGGAATGAGTAAAATAATATAATAAACAACAAAAATACAACAGAATGTAACCCACTGACCACTGGACAGCAAACAGACTTCATCACCCATGACAATCTGGACATTTAGAACACAAATGACGGCAAAGTCTGGGGTTTTGCAGAAGATTTTGTCCTCATCAGGTAAAGAGAGAAAAATCTCCACTGGTGGTGCATTCGTGTGGGCTCTTCTGACTCAAATCAACACATATCAAGTGAATGCCTATTGCTCCAAGTAGCTTAAAACAAATGGAACCACACAACGCAAATGAATCTAGATTTCTAAAGGTGGGGTCACAAAAAGAAAGGACAACTATGGACATTTCCTCTTTGTTTGTTTTTGAAAGTTTTTACATGAGTTCTGTGAGTTTTAGCCTGCCATGTGGTGCGCTCTAGCTCCTTTGTCTGCCTCAGTCTGCGCTTTGTGAAACCAGTGGCATAGAAGAGTGACGGTGACTGTTTTTGTTTCGTTTTAGACTCGTGTCCATTTGGATCGAAAAGGTGAAGAGAAGCCAGCTTCAGTTTGTGGCAGCCTTGTAGAGCTCTTGCGCCGTTTTTGTTGGTTTTTTCCCTCTTCTTGTAGGACTTTTTTGGACTTCATGGTCATAAGTGTTACTTTAGTCCCTAATTTCTATTTTACATTCCCCATAACAGATTATCAGATGTTGAACAGAAAACGGAAAAGTTAAACAAAAGGGCAGAAAATCAGATGTTTATCAGAATCTAACATGCTGTCATGGAGTTGTGCTTTAGATTCAGTATTCTAGAGTTTTTTTTGGTATATATCTATATTTTTTTGCTTTTCAGACTTTATGATGCCCAAAATGATGGACAGACACTGTGTAAACAAAATGTCAATGGTTTTAATGCAACCTATGGATTGCCAAAGAGCTGTGGATGTGCTCAGTGGGTGTGAACAAGTGTTAGGAGCAGCACGATGGACTCAGAGGGATGTGTTAACACAATGTTAATCCATCACTCTTAATCCCAGCTGCTGAAAAACTAAGCCTGCTCAAAAAGAAGTGAAAAGGTGAAGGAGGAGGAATGAAATCATGCCGTTGACTTTTTTGGACACACAATCGAGCCTTAAGCAAACTACAGTATTCGCTGTATCGGAGGACAGCCATTAAGGAGGGCCAGTGCTGCTGGAGACTGATCTGAAAGACACACACACACATACACACACACACACACACACACGCTCACTCACACATATCGATGCATTTCTGTTTCTGGTGGTTCAACGTTGATTTATTGCTTTCCTCAGCTCTTCACCTCCTCCGCCTGAATCCAGTTTCTAGCCCGGCTGTGGCTGCCAGTGACAAACAGCAGATTCAAAGGGGAGTTTTAATTTCCTCGCAGGAGTTACAGGACCTTATTTGCTCATCATGTGACTCTCTTTCAAAATATTCACAAAGTTGGAGCGGGTATCTGGAAACTGGAAACCATCTTAATTTAGCCCCACTGGTTAGAAAATGCGCAGAAAGGAGGCAATTTTGACCGAATTGTCAGTAAATTGAGGCAATTGATTCATTAAAATGACAGCCACAGTTTTCATGCATTCACTTCTGGGCTGCATGGTGGCGCAGTGGTTAGCACTGTTGCCTCGCAGCACAAAGGTTGCGGGTTTGAAACTCGGCGGCGGCCTTTCTGCGTGGACTTGCGTGCTCTCCCCATGCATGTGTGGGTTTCCTCCGGGTACTCCGGTTTCCCCCACAGATCACAACATGCCCTATAGGTTATAAATTGTAAGTCACTTTGGATAAAACCGTCTGCCAGATAAATAAACATAAGCTTCTCGTTTAAGCCATGCTGTGTGCAAAACTTGCATCATACGAGTACAGCGTTAAAACATCTGCGCAGTGAAGTGCTGGTTTCAGTCTAAAATCTATTATCATCCAATATTTCTCCTCTAATGTGTTAGAGGTGAAAATAGCTATAGTGATCTGAATGCAGTCATGTTTTTGTACATTTTCAGCCTAGAGAAGCTGGTGAAGGTTCTCTGTCATCCAGGTCAAGGTCATCCAAAGGGGTTCGAATGAAGGCAACTGGACTTCTTTGATTTCGCTTCTCATCCGAGGAGCTTTGTCAATTCAGACTGGAATTTGGTAGAGTCAAGTTTATAAACTGTAGCTGTCTATTGTTGTTAAACGAGCTGAAACTACGTATGAAAACCCCTCCTCGCTATCCCCTGATGAGTCATTAATGTCGTTGGGTCCTTTTGTGTTAGAATGGTTGTTTTGATTAGATGCAGGAGGATATGACTGTGAATTTTGG